TACAACACACAAAAAAAACACGACACACACATATCCTACAACACACACCACAACACGACACACACATCCTACCACATCATAAAACACACGCACCACACACATCCTACAACACACACCACAACAACACACACACATCCTACAACACACGCACCACACACATATCCTACAACACACAACCATCCTACAACACACACACCACAACTCATATCCTATAACACACACACATCCTTCAACACAAACACCACAGCACGACACACACATACACATCCTACAACACACACACTACACACATATATCCTACAACACACACACAATACACCATAACACACACACTACACCACAACATAACACTCACACAACACACCACACCACAACGCATGCATCCTACAACACATACACACGCATGCAACACACCACACCACAACATAACACACACACACATCACACCACACACATCCTACAACACACACCAACCACACCACAACACAAGCCTGGCCATCTCTCAGGACTCACCCTGGCCACCCAGCCCGGTCACACATATCCAGCATGAGGGAAAAGTGACAGCAGCTAGAGACGTCTACACAGTCTGTGGAGTCCCCAAGACCAACCTGCACCACATCCCCTCCCCCGGCTTCCCCGTTCGCCTGCTCCTGTGAGATACTGCGCTCTGCTCTGCTTTTGCCAGAATCTCGCTAAACTCTTAACTGCGTCTGTTCCTTTTACCTGAAGGCAACAGCACACCCGGCTCATGTGCCCCCCCCCAGGCAGCCACAAGGGTTTAATGTGTGGGCCACAAGCCTGCTGCTGGGAAGCCACAGACAGCCTCTGGGCTTCCGTTCCAGCCAAGCTCGGAACGGGGGGGCCTGGTCAACAGGGCGGATTAAACGCGGGAAAAACTCGACTCGAGCCCGGTCGATCACCAGCTCTGCTCAGGGCGGGCGGCCGGCCTGTCCCCTACCTGTCTCCACAGGAAGCTGTCCTCCAGGTTGAGCCTCCAGGCGGTGAGCATGTGGATGGAGGAGAGCACCACCCCGCTCAGCACGGCCGCCCTCATGCGCACCGGCAGCAGGGTGTAGATGATGTAGATGAAGAACACGGACCACCAGATGCCCTCGGAGGCGGAGCGCGGCTCCACCCTCAGCACGCCGAAGACCTGCACCACGAAGAGCACGGCGATGACCAGGTAGCTGACGATCCACATGTAGTCCTGGTGGAAGCCGTTGCGGTTGCAGACCACCATGAGCGCCAGGAAGAGCGCCATGGCCACGGCCAGCACGGAGGCGTAGGCCACGTCGGGGGGGCCCTGCACGCAGTGGAAGGCCAGCATGACGCCGCACACGATCACCAGCACGCCCATCAGCATGGTCAGGCTGCTCTGGTTCAGCCGGAAGAAGTACCGCTGGTACAGCCGCTCCAGCTTGGCCGACTGGAACTTCTTGGACTGGAAGACCCGCGCCACCCTCTGCCAGCAGTCCGCCGCCGTCAGCGCGCCCCCGGCGCCGCCCGCGCCGTCCTCCGCGTCCCCTCCTTTCCTCCCCTTCGCCTCCCCGTCCTCGAACCCCAGGTCCACCGACTTCAGCCCCACCTCCCCTCCTTTCTTGCCGTAGTGGTCCTCCTGCCAGCCGCAGCGCAGGCCGAAGCTGCCCCCGCCCCCGCCGGAGGCCACGCCCCCGGCCCCTCCCACGCCGCCGCCCCCGGCGGCCCGGTTGTTGCCGCGGTGATGGTGGTGGGGGGCCTGGGCGGGGGGCTCCATGGCCTCGGGGTCCCGCAGGCAGCTCATGTAGCGGGGTCCGCACAGCGAGGAGCCGGCGGCTTTCCGCTTGGACTTCTTGCCATTGCGCTCCCCCCACGCGGTCTTGCGGTCGTCCACCCTGGCGACTAGGAAGCCACTGAACCACGACATCCTGCAGGGGGGCA